AGTCAAAATCCTCTGTAACTTTTCTCACTGAACTTAGGATGTGACCAGTAAAAACAAGGCAAACATATAATCAGAAAAAAACTTGATTATTTAACATCACCTGAGAAGCATTACATTGTGTGTATTTTTATATAACACCAAAGTTTTTCCATTGTTGAGCTCCTTAAAAAAAGGAGCCTCTTTTCAATTAAAGAAAGGCCTGTATTAGAGAACACCAGCAGCTGCTAGTTAATCTTCATGTTCAGTTTCAGAGCAATCTCTGATAAGGAAGTAAAAACTCCAAAAAAACTTGTTGCCAAGGGTAACTCTGCTTTTACACAGTGGAATGCTTTAGTAATACCAAAGACCCCAGTGTGAAAATACAAAGGGACTCCAGTTTAAGAGACTGATTGATTGAAAGCCAGAAGGGCAGCTTGTAGCCTTCAGTACCTAAATGCGGGCACTGATTTTTAACTTGAGTGATACCAGACAGTAACTGCTTGTTGTTCTCTGGCTTGAACTTCTACGTTTTGCTAAATGTGGTAACTCTAGCAAATTGCATCATGCAGGCTGACTCAAACAAATGTTCTGTATTTTCGTGTATGTTCCCCTGCAAAGCAATTTCAGCTTTGGTAAATTAGATTGGCAACCAAATGATCATCTCATGCTGCAGAGCTTGCAAGCTATCTGCCCTTTGATCTGGAGGACTGTCTCTTCAGTGCGAGCCTGAATTGGCCCGTTAGGCTTCGCAGTGTTAAAGAATCATATAAGTGACCTGGCTGGAAATTAAAATTTTCCCAAGCAACTGCCTCAGAAAATAACAGAAAAGCTGTCTTCTCTCATACTCTGCTAGATTATGTCTTATGTAAAATTATTTCATATATTGTTTTATTCTGTGATCAAAGATGAAACCACATATGACCACGGATTTTAGTGTCACACAAAGCTTTATATTTCTTAGTGAAATGTATTCTTATTTTGTAGTAGTCTTCTTTCATTTCCCTTTTATATCTTTACAATAAGAGTACATAAACTATGCATTGTTGCTGCATTAGATATTCCATTCTTGGTATGCAAAAGTAATCCACTTCATTTCTGTCATCAGCAAGCTTGAGCATCTAGTTAATTTACTCCAGTTTCTTTGATTTTTCTTTTTTTGAATTAAGACAACATCCATCCCTTATGGCAATGTATTGACTATGGCAGCATGTGGTTGGAAAATGTATTTTATGTGACTATCTGGTTAAATGAAAGTCAGAATTTATGTAAGATCTAGTTATATACAAGTGTTAGAAGAAAGGAACCTTAATGTGTTATATGACCAGCAGTGAGCATGGAGAAGGCGAGGGTACAACTTTTGTGAAGCTTTCCAAGTTTCACCTCCAGATTCAGAAGTCTTTGTGGAGTGATGATCTTCAGGAGAGAATTGCTATCGATTGACCCCATTTTGTCTTGTACCATGTCTTTGTTTCTTCTTCCCCATCCTTAGCTATGTGTATGATTCTAGAGTAAGCCTGTGATTAGGTAATGCAGAGAAAAGTGTGTCTAGGAATTGTCTGTAGCAAATCAATCATCATTTCTTATCACAGCAGGCAATAAAATATTTCAGAGTAGAATTGGTCCTTAAATGAGGAATTACAAACCTTCTTTCGTGCAAATACCAGAACAGCAGGTTCATAGGTAGTAAAATCTGACTTGATGGGACTTGCGCGGTGTGAGGTGAGTGTCTGGATGGATCACAGAACAGATCTGCTTTGGTCTTACTGACTTCTTGGCATTGCTTCTTAAGATCAACTTTCTAGTTCAGCCCAGTCACAGTAACATCTTAAGCAAATCTTCCACAGGGCCACGTTTAATTGTTCAGTGTAATTTATAAGGAGAAGAAATTTCATGTCTTATCTGTCTATTCAAAGTATTTCTCTTCAATACACACCTCTTACTCTGCAACTCCAGCATTAAAGAATGATTCCATGATACCCTCTCCATTTTTGCTTCCACTTGCAATGCACAGTAGTTGCAGCTATGTCCAGATCATAAATTCACTGACTCCCAGGGGTAAAACAGAGAGAATAAACATTAATAACAGTGGAAAAATATACAGATAATAATCAGACAATATTACTCCACCATATCCACACATAGCATACAGGACAAATAAAAATCCACACAGAAGACGACTGAACCACAGGTAGATGGTGAACACTTCTTTGCACCAACACTGAAGTGAAGTTTCACCTGGCATGAAAATAATTTACATCTTGAAAATAACTAAAATAATAATTAAAAAAAAACAACCAACCAAAAAAAAACCCTCCCAAAAAGCCTCAACCCAACTCCAAAGCCCCATAACCTGAGAAAACATAGGCATCTAAGCAAATTATTCTAAACATAGGCATCTAAGCAAATTATTCTAAACTGCAAACCAATGTTCTTCACTCTCCTTTCTCCATCTCCTCATTTCAGTGACCTTTCCATTGCTATCTCTTAAGTTGCTTGGACTGGAACTGTTTCTCTGTTTTATGCAGTGCCAATTACAGTTTTGGTTTCTAGAGAATTAATACAGTATAATTTTAATACGTTGTTCTTAAGTAACTTCAAAAGAACCACTTAATCTGAAAATGGCCCATGTATGACTTCATGGATGCCATTGAAGAGTGTTGGAGCCCTACACAAGCGTACCAGGATCTGGCTTTGGGTGAGAAAATGTGGATATCGTAGTATTAATGTAGGCATTACCTAACCGAACATATTTTGTTAACCATCTCATGTTTGTACATTAACCTTGTAATTGTAAATTTTTAGAGGGTTAAGAACAACAGTTCCTGAGACCTGTTCTGCTGACTAAGGAAGCTGTGTCATGTCAAAATCCTGAGCCTTTTGCTTATTTTATCCTGTGCTTTTCCTACAGTAAACTTCAGGTGTCAGAGCACCCAGGTTGGTGACTCCTGTAGAAGCTCAGTATCCGAATGCTTAAGGTCTTTCTGTGTGTGTTCCCTTTTGGTAGTTCTTCATAGAAGCCAGAATTTTCTTGTTAGAAAACATGTTTCCTAACAGCATGCCCCAGTATGTGTAAAACAAGAAACAGACACCCTGTAAATTCTCACACTTGTCTGTCTTTGGGCAAAGCTGTGTGTTCACTCCCAAGCAGGAGCAGAAACAGCGTGTTGTTTTTAAGCTACATGATTAAAGGGAACATTTTGCAGTTATACAATGAAATTAAAGCCTCTTCCATTGCCATCTTAAAGAAATAAATTGACATCACTGTGCACGAATGATGATTTCGTGAACAAAAGGGTGTACCTTCCCTGACTTTATTATTTATACTATTCAGATTATATGTTCCTTTTGAATAAATATAAGCTCTTGATAGACTACCCATTTTGGCTTTAGATCTAAAATGTATTTGCTTACATATTAGTTTATTATTGTATCATTTTCACAAGAAAGTAATGATGTTGCTGATTAATTGCCAATTAATTCTGCTTAGTGTGTGTCAGGTGTGCTGAGAGACTATGGCTGCACCGAATACAGCAAGCACCCTGCTTGGTATTTCTGCTGCTTAGGAGTGCAATGAGTGTATTGCCAGGAAGTGTAACCAAATGAAACATGTTTTTTCTTGACCTGAGCTTTTTATCAGATTTCTCCACAGGGTTGTATTTTTTAACTGCTACTAAATGCATTATCTTAAATCTTCAGACGTACCTCAGGCAGAAACAATGTTTTATGGCTATTTCTTTGAGGTATACTTCTTTCGGATTTAGTCTAAATTACTGCATGCTTTTAAAGTCTGAAACTCTTTATGAGTGGAGGAGTTTCAGGCAGTCAATTAGGAATGAACTTAGGAATGAACTTGATGGCAGAGAAAGCAAGAATCCCTTAAACCCATCTCTAGTACTCATTCTAAAATGTTTCATTTTACAGGTTAAAGTATTTCAGTTATTCTGCACACTGACCTGTAGACATTCTGGGCAAGCAATGTAATTATTAGCATTTCTTAATTATAGTAGTATATAGAGATGGGAGGACTTGTGTGAATTTGGATATATAGAAAGCTAACAGCTCAGCAACAGTAACTTTTACCTGAAAGTGCATATTCTTTTCCAATAAAAATTCTGCAGCTTAAAATAGAGCTATGGTAATTACTTCTTAATGTGGTATACTAATAAAATTTGTATAAGAGCCTTCATTGAACAACACAGTCGCTGAGAAAACAAATCCTTTCTTCTCTACACCAAGAACAGGAAATATCTGTGCTTTGAATAAGGTTTTTCATTCATGTGGTAAGGACTTGTTCTCCGTGGTGATGTTAGGATTTTTGTTATGTGTTTTAAAGTATATCCCAAACCAGTTAAAACCATATGCCAATGATAGAGCTTAAATAAATAAATAAATAAACAAACAAACTAACAAGTCAGCACTGGTTCTTCAACTTGAGATTATGTCTTATATTTGAATCTTGCTTTGGAAAGAAAACCTTCTACATATATTAAGGACAAATCATGCAAATTTAAATGCCTTAAATTGTATGGAACCTCTGTTTTTGGTCAGGAAAATTTCCATCCTCTAAGGAAACCTTACCTAATCACATTATGAGGTTGGGGGTGGGGATGGTTGCTGTTGCCTGGGCTTTTTTTCTCATCTCCATCTCTTTTGTATTAAAATACAAGCAATATAACTACAGAGGTTACATTTTCCTCCAGCCTGAACATATGAAAAAAGTGTATGAAAATAATTTGGATAAACGTTTTTATATTTGAAGGACAATTCCATTTAAGCAGTAATGTTCCCTATTGCCTATGGATGACTATCAGTGAATCAGAAACAGTGGCTTTGCTTTGCCTCCTGCAATTCACTCACCAAAATACAAACTTTTTAAAGTAAGCAGCACCATACAAACTCAGAAGCACTTGGGACAGAGAGTGGTTTAAAGGGCTTTGTTAGTAAAGAAGACTGAATTTAGGATCTGGATTGTACAGTGAGAAAAACAGAAACGGGCACTTCATTGTGTATGTGCAACCGATATGACTGATCTCACAAAAGGTTACAGCAGCGAGTCCAGCAGCCAGGTGAGCATTTGAGGTGTCTCTTTCAGGCCTGACTATTCTGTGGCATTAATTTAATGCTTTCTGACAGACGAGGTGGGGTCGAGGGTGGTCCCTGCCTGACCCTGGAATTCCTGAACTCCGGGCTGAAAGTCTGCATCAGATTAGTGTCCCAGACCTGACACTGACATAGGCAGGGTTTTCTCCTGACAAGAGATAGCTGATAGGTTGTTAGGGTTAAAACCCTGGTGTACCCTGGGGTCATGAACTTAAACATCTACCCTAGCTCTGAAGCATATTTCCGGCTCCTGTTTTTTGTTTTTGCTCTCCACACCTCTGGGTTGTATGCAAGAAACACTAGGCAGAAAGTGCCTAGTGTTTTTCTTTCAGAGTATTCAGATGAAAATAAGACCATAGTATTTTTGAGGTTTTTTCCTGGAATACTTGGAGGGTTTTTTTTCCTGAAGAAGACCTAACTGTAGTAAGCCAAGTATTCTAAGTATTTGCTTTTCTGAAGAAAAATCTAAAACCTTAAAAGAGATGTTTTAGATAAATATTTGTTCATTCCACAACTGCAATTTTGAAAAGAAAAAAAAATCAGAAAAAATCTTGATTCCTAATAAGAAGACTTCATGTCTACCTTCAAAGAGCTTCTCTAAGACAAATATTTGGATATATGTACATGGTACACATTTGTGAAAGAAATATAAAAAACAGAGTAATTAGTAAGAATGGAATAGTTCTTCCTGATGATGAGTATAGAAAGCAGAGACCCTATAACTTGGTCTTCTGTTATAAAAATTCTCTCAGGTAAACTCAGCCAGTACTCAGTTTTGCAACCATCACTTTTTGAACTGAGTTAATCAGGGACATGGCAAGCTCATATAAATAGAATAACCAACCACAGGCTAGATAATCATTTAAATGCAGCAGTGCCAGGACAAAATCTTCTGGTAAATTTTTGCTATTTTGAGGTTATAGAGTAATATTTTTCCCTGTTACACCACCAGCTACATACAAGAGATGTTGTGTAAGGCTGTGGTCTTATTAAAAGTTTTTTATAACAATATACCATCCCATAATGTCTTTAAAATGTAAGATTCAGTTGAAGCTAGCTTTTGAGCTAGAAAAAATAATATATTTCATTGACATTCCAGTGTAGAAGCATCACTGCAACAAAATTAAAAAACCTGCTGACATTTTTGTATATAAAAATAAATTCTACATTTTGTTTTCTGAAGTTCAGTGAGCTATATTTTCTAGCTGGGACACTATAAGGAGACTATGGATATAGTTTACTAACCTTCAGCATTTGCACAAGCAAGTATGAAGACAAACCACAGCTGTTAACATCAAAGAAATCAAAGCAAATAAAAAGGGAGAAAAAACAGGAATAAGCAACAAGACTTTCAGGTTTCTGGAGATATTTTTCCCTTGTAGGTAATCTAATTTCTTGGACCAATTGAGCTGTTTGCATTTTCATCCTGTCTAATTCATCGTACATTAGTACCTTGACCCTGCTTATAAGCAACTTGAGATGTAAGGCTCTATTATGTTACAATTTTGGCTTGTTTTTTTAAGAAACAAAGATGTGGTGTGTTCAGTTTGTGCAGTAGGTAAAGGGATAATAGGAAATACAGAAGAGAGGAATTAAAATCAAAGTGGAGTAACCCAGCATTGGCAGATGTGAGCATTTTCTGTGTTCATGTGATGTCAGCCTGTTGACTAGAATAGGGCTTCTGTTAACAGATGGAAAGCACACATTTTATGTGTATCAACTAACTTCGCAATAAATTGAAATTTGTTTGTTATATCCTTTGAAAGTCAGCATTTTGAGAAGAGCTAAGAAATATAGTATAATGAAAGGAGCTCTGTGAAACCTCTCAGCCTGCCCCATGTGTGCAGGTCATGCTAATCAAACACCACAGCTGAAGCCCATACTTTTGGTTGCAGAAAGGCAGTGTCTTCATTTTGCATTTGAATGCAGTATATTTGAAATACCTCCATCTTTGGAAACCATGATTTGATGTGGTGGTGAATTATAGTACCTCTATTATTTTTTGTCTCTGTTAGTGGGAATCAGATAGGTTCGCATACGTCAGTGTGCTCAGTTACAAAGATTTTTCACCCAAGCTTTCAAGATAGAGGATGCAGCAAGTAAATCATCATGAATAATAAAACAGTAGCTTTCTGTGAGTTTCATGAAAAGCAGGGGAGATTATGTCTTGTTGCATGCACTTATTTTCTGCAGTCCCAAATGCTTTCGGCATTTTGATATAGGGTGGATATAGGGCTTTTATTCGCCAAGCCTCTGGCAGTGAGGAAATGTCAAGCAGAAAATGCACTTTGCCTGCAAGGGAAGAAGTCACTGAGGTGCCCCAGCGGTGCAGTATCTCTGCAGGCTTATTCACAATGTGGCAGAGATCAACCCTGACAGCTGGGTCTTCCTTGCATGTCTGCAACAGCGAAGGCACCTCACACGAACCTCAAAGAATGAGGCAAAATGGCGAAAATAGGTAGCTATACGCATATTCCCTTTCAGTCTCCTTTCAGCCTCACCTGGGATGTAGAACAGCATATTTTAATCCCTGCTCCAGTTAATCAAATAATATTTCTTAATTTTCTGTTTTGCTGAGGTTGTTCTAGTATGTAAATATGATTAGCTATTAGTTGGGTCAGTGAAAGGGTACTCAACATTTCTAGGAGATCTGCTCCTCTTTCTTCTCTCATTTCAATTAGAAAAGGTGCTATGATCCTTAGGGAGCTGACCATTAAAATATTTCCATACATTTCTGGGAAATGAACATATTATGATTAATGAGATTTTCCTAGGATTTTTGTTAGCAGATTTTTGACCACTCTTAATAGTTTTTTCTTTTCTCAATTAGTTTAAAAGGGGAAAGAGAGAGGTGGCACCTCTTCAACCAAGTTGTAAAAAATTTTGTAAAAAGTGTAACTTCACTTCCACTTTTCATTATTTATTTGTGCATCTGAAGAATATAAGTTGTCCTACAAGATGCATTGGAAAGATGCTTAAGGGTTTGTTTTAGTGTTTTCTTTTCTTCACTGAAGAAAGCTAAACAAACCTATTTTTTGAAGTGCTGTTATTGTTTAGGTAACTGACACTAAAAACTGATGACAGGATGTGAGTTTCTAATTTTGGTGATGTCCCATTGCTTTGAGGGGAAGCTAGTTTTGAAGTAGCGACTGTAAGCACAGCAGGTGCTGGGCTCTTGTAGCAGCAGGCGGAACTGTCACATGTTGGGACAAAAATACTCTCTTTTCTTGGTAGCTACACAGCTAATATTTCTATAACCATTTTGCTGACTAACCCATACATTATGTGGAGTTTCTGAATTATGGAGATACATACTGTTATGTACTGTATATGTTGCCATGGTATGAGCGTGCTTTGATTCTGCAGTATTTGGATAAATATGCAGGTATTTGAAGGAGTAGAGGGAAGAAGCAGCATCAAGCTGAAATTTATTTCTGAATCTTTGTCAGTCAGTCTGACTTGGGAATAAATTCTTATCTGATAGGAAAACTGACTCGTATCTCCTTCAAAAATACTATTAGTTTCATGGTGCAGTAGTTCATGATGGTGGTAAGGCTAAGCGAAATAGTGATTGCTGAGAAGAGTACAGAAGATCCCTTGTCAAGTATTTGAGTTTTGCCACCAGAAGGGAACTTCTGTGCGTCCATGTAAATTGGCATTCTTCCATTGACTTCTAAGTGCAGTGAGGTGGGTGGTTTTGGTTTGTGCACTTCTTGGACAGAGATGCAGGTACTCAGCAGCAGCTGGACTCATCAAGAACCGCAATTCAATAGTATTTTTCAGATTTGTATCAACAAAGGTGGTCTTGATATGCACAAAATCGGGTTGCTTCTTGCTACCCTCCTTCTTTTGTAATTGCTTTAGTGGTCTGAACAAAATGCAGAAATGGAAATTTCTGGTAACAGCATTGCGCTGACAATATTTTAACAAGGTAATAAACTGTTCTTGCGTACCCTGTTCTGGTCCTCTCTTAGTTGGGGTTCACGTGCTTGTAAAACACATGATGCAAAGTCAGGATATATATACATTTTTTGTCTGTTTAAAATACCTTCTTTTCCCTAATATTAAAAGCTAATACTTTGTGGCACGCTACATCTTAGGAGTTGCATTGCTGAAGCTTTACTTTTCCTGTGAAAACATGAATGCTTACCTTATTCAGCTGGAAGGTAGATATGATAGAATGGAATGCAACCTTCGAAAACAAAAGGAAGGGGAAAGACTCCTTTCATTCTAATTTTGTTTTCTATATGCTTATATTTTGTGGAATATAATCTTTATTAAAAACAAAATTATTTTTTTCAGAAGTACTCATGCTTGCCTCAGGGATGTCGTCTCTGACAGAGATAATTTATCATCCATCCAAAGAGAGAGTGAGCATTGTTATATGGGAATGAAATAATTTCAACCTACTCTGAAGTTCGGTGGTCAAATTATACTGGGGGCATCTGGGTTCCCCTGAGAGCCCTTCAGCTCTTTACTGCCACAAACAGACTGGAGCACCCAACCTCTGAGGAATGACTTCATGTGAATAAAGTCTTTGCAACTGAGCAGATTGTAAAATAAATCTGATTTTTTGTAGATGTCAAAAAAATTTAAAAGTCCATCTTGAGCTGCTGAGCAGTGTAGGGTATAACTCCAGGCTCACCCTAGATGTATAGAATCTATGGGCAGCTCTAGTTTAAAATGGTATAAAAGAGGCAGAAAGAGGGATAAAAACTTCTGAGAAGTTCAGATGCCAAACTGGTTTAGTTGTACACATTTTCAGCTGGTTTATATACCCCTCATGCTGGAATGTGGCTAAACAAGATTGGACAGGGGGAAAGACAAGTAACAGTGCAAGACTGGGGTGGGAGAAGAGAGATGAAGACAGATGGCAACAGGTTTCAAGACAGAGTTTTCCTTCTGTCCCCGATTGATGCACTTGAGCAATAACATTTTTAATGCTTGGGGATGCAGAGTGCTGAAGTAGCATCTCAACCTAGCTACAATCTCATGTTAAGTCTCCTCTTCTAAAAGAAATACACCATATAATTTAAGATCTGTCTGTATACCTGCATTGAAATAGTAACATCTGAGATGTGTTTTCTTTCCTTTTATTTTTCATTTTAACATTGACAGGTTGAGCCGTTGATCCAGAAAGGCCATGAGAATCTGGTGCACCATATCCTGCTCTACCAGTGCAGCAGCAATCTGAATGACAGTGTGCTGGACTACGGGCATGAGTGCTACCACCCCAACATGCCAGACTCTTTTCTCACATGTGAGACAGTCATTTTTGCTTGGGCCATTGGAGGAGAGGTAGGATGAATGGCTGTCTAGCATGCTTCATCAGCGGAGCTTTGGGTGACTGTGTATCATGATGAACCTTCTTCCTGGCGTATCAGTCTGTTTTTAAGGGTACACAGTCACAGTCCCTAAATGCCTTATCAATAGGTACTCAACTTCTTCTTGGCCTCTTGAGTATGGAATGCAATGAACATCCTGAGTGACAAGCTAAAAGTTATGAAAATTGTATTAAGAGTTGATGCATTAGGAGAAGAAGAAAACTTGAGAGCATTGAAGTCTCACCGTTATCAACTTGACACATCTGATATGGAAATATACTGCCTCCAGCAATGACCAGTATATGTTACCTGTGGAGAGTGACAAAAAGAAAAACAAGTCTCTGTAGGTGGCTGCATAAAAGACTGGGAGGCAAGTTTTTCCAAATGAGGTTAAACATATATTCAAATAATTTTGTGCCTCACCAGGACCTGGTTACAGTGTTGCCTCATTCAGACATATAATTCTGAAGTTTTCTACCCAGCCCGAAGAGTCATCATTTCAGTGTAGAAGCGATCCTGTGTCAGTGCAGAGCCAGCACAAGGACCACTTTGCTCATGTCAATGAGGCATATCTACAGAAAACAGAGTCTCTGATGCCATGCTGACCCTAGGCTGTGTTTACAGCTTATTCTTTATGTTAATTTAGGCTGCAGTTAACGCTTGCAGCTGACACAAGGCAGCATTACTGACAAAAGAAGAATCCCACCCCTTCTTTACCCCCTTGATTCACTGTGTGCCCATACACATGATGGTGTGGGTACAGAGGGGTCTGGGGTGCTGATAATTTCTGGACCCTTCCTTTGTGAGCCTGCAGTCCAAAACCATCTTCCAAGTGCTGCAGTATGAAGAGGCCAGACCTGCTACATGGACCCATCAAAATAAGTTTAATCCACTATGAGCATTATCCCTGATGTATGCTTTGTGCATTTTCACCATCAGCTATGCTCTGACCTAGTATTTATACTTTCAACTGTCTTAATCTAAGTGAAATCAAAAACTCATATAAATAATTTATCATTTGGCAAGCACTATGGAGGCCTTTGCAAGGATGATCCCATTGTTAAAGTTCTACAGAGAGAAATCTGGCAGGTCTGGGTTACATTCAGGTTTACTAGGGTACTCATGGTTCTATAGTTTACCCTTACATAGAATGAAGCTGATAATATTTATTACTATATACAAATATTAATTAATTAATGTTCATCAAGCATAAGAAAGTTGGGATCTCAAATTGCACAATTCAGGAAGTTAGGAAATATTAAAATATTAGCTATATACTATAAAATTATGCAGACTCATTCCTATAAAAGTGAAATTGATAGATGAGTTCACTTGGAAGATTTTAGTTTGAATCAGGAGTCAGTTTTTAAAGCAAATCTCCCAGTTATCTCCACTTACTCTAGTTATCATCACAAGTGGTTTGAAAACTTACACAGTTCTCTTTGGGGTGAAGTTAAACTGGACGTGCAAACCCAGCACCTCCCAGCAATAAATGGGGTTCAGTGCATGGGATCTGACCAGAGCTTGTCCAAAGGAGCATCGTGTGGGGACAGTGGGTCTGGCGCAAGCTGTTGCACTGTACAGAGCTATTTCTTTGCTCTACGTGGCTTTCTAATGTAAATGTAGTCATGAAGATCATATTTATTGCTCAAATAATTTCACTTAGAATGAGTGATTCCTTCAGGAAAAACAATCCTGTTTTTCCTGAAAAAAAAAAAAGTATAACCTCAGTATTCCCTGGAAATTAGTGCTTTTAGAAACTGGGAATATTTAAAATGCAGATTCACTTTTTCATAAGGGTTTATTGTTAGACTAACTGCCTGATGATGCAATGTTTATGTGTTTAAAATGAAATTTTCCTTTTCCGTTCAAGCAATAAGTACAGGATAAACAATCATAAGATCACAAGATAATGCAAGTCGGAAGGGACTTCAGGAAGTCTCTAGTCCAGCTTCTACTCAAAGCAGGGTCAGTGGTGAGATCAAACAAATTTGCTTAGGACTTTATCCTCAAGCAAGCATAGGATCTGCTATTTTATATTTACATAATTATTTTTCATATTGAGTATATAATAAATATATTATTCCACAATGTCATGTTCAGAAAGTTATAAAAGAAGTTTCCTTTCCGAATTTTATCATTAATATGATTGTATCTTTGCTAAAAAGGTAGATGTATTTACAAAAAGAATTTAACTATTAACAATGGCAAAAACAACTTGTCTTTGTACATGTGTGTTTATTTCCAGGGTTTCACCTACCCTCCTCACGTTGGCTTATCCATTGGCACAGCAGTTGACCCTCAGTTCGTTCTTATGGAGGTGCATTATGACAATCCATCATACACAGAAGGTTGGTACCCTCACACTCTTTAAAACATGCAAGATTGGAAACTGTACTAGACAAAAGTGCTTCACATTGCATTGCACAACAAACAGAGCAAACACAAAGCTGAAGCTTATTTTTCCCTGCTCAGTAGTTCCTGGTTCCCAGTGTTGTTCTCACTGCACTCAAAAGCATAACTTGAAGTCATTGGGAGTTTCAGATATACAAAGAATTGTGGACCAGGTGCATACATCTCCTTTTATCACTACATTCTTCACATTATCTCTCTCTGCTTTCCTTTTGCTGGGAAATCCAATCAGACTGAGAGCGAGCAGCACAGCACTCAGACTGTGAGACAGCAACACAGGGAATGAGCCTTTTATTAATTTTTTTAGCATTTTTTAAAGACATATACCTGAACTGTAGGATGCTTCTGAACGAGAAGTATAGACTCAGGTTGCTAGACTGGGGTGAAAGCAGTTTATCTTAAAAGATAAGCTTTTTATTAATTATGGTGTTTTTTAATCTTCTTTCTAGAATTCATGTATTTTTAGAAGAAACAAAAGGAAGAAACCAGGGACCCCTAGAAAGATCTAGGGAATGTTGAAGCTGACTTTTGGAAATATACTTTTTTATTCTGAAAAAAAGTTTATTGAGCTACTGTATTGAGAATATTCTGTTGAACCGAGTAAAATCCAGTGCAGCAGAGAGTACTGGCCTTTCTTTACACCCCCATGTGTTAAAATAAAGTTCTCTGTGTGGGTTATGTTGTTCTGCCTTACTGTTATTACCACTCTTTGTGTTGTTCTAGATGTACTGTCTCAAAATTATTTTCTTTAATGACAGAATCTCTCCCTTCAGCATGTACATTTGCATGGGGTATAGTAAACTTCATTTGCATTCTTGATGTTACATGCTTTTCCATCAAATGTTACTTGAAAGCCTGAGAAGTTGCATGCAGAAAAACTGTTTCCAAATTGGTTTTGACCCTAAATTCACTATTTTATTTTAATCAACTGTATTTGATACTGTTGTTTTAGTTCATGTGGCACATAAAAAACTGGGAATCAATAATGTTTTGTTTCCTTTTTAATCAATGAGGACAATTTTGTCTTACTGGGACAGTCCCAGGTGAACTCAGAGTCTTGCCAAAGACCTGGGAAAATTTAGACAGTGGGCAGAGCAGGAAGTCTGTGATCCAGGTCATGTTTCTCTCCTCCATGACAAAATACACGGTGCTGGAAATGTAAGGGAAACCTGAGTGCTTAATCTGCTTCAGGTCAGGGCACGTGAATCCTCCTGACAGAGCATCAAACCTGCCACTGGATCAACTTCATTTTCCCATTTCAGGATCTGCATTTTGCCAGCTTGGGTCTCACGGTTAAAGGCTTCATCTTTAGTTTCATGTTGTGATCTGGGGTAATGTTTTCCTAAGTGACTCAGCTTGGTAGTCAACACTGGCTTCTAGTTCGACTCAAAAATGTTTTAACTGCTCCTAATTTGGCTGGTTTTGAATGTTTCTGTTTATGAAATATTTAGCATTTCCTTTTAATTGGAAAAGTGACCTCTTGATTGTTTATCAAAAACTCTTACATATTGTAAAAATTTCTGGCATTTAGATGTTAGCAACAAGCTTGAAGGGGAAATACCTCAGAGGATAAATTCAAGTTGATGAGATTGTACAAATAGCTTCAAAAAGAGAATGAGTGTGGATTTCCAAACCCATGAAAAACGGGTATATATCAGTATATATCACCTGAAATGTTGAGATTTGTATATTGCTGAATGTCTCATATTTGATTACCACTCTTAGTTGGCTATGCATAGTTTATAGCCTTTGTTCCTTAATAATTATATACTACTGTCTCTTAGGCATTTTAGTGATTGGGTAACTTAGTCCCTACTCTGCACCTCTGTCATTTGCCTATTTTAAAATTGCCTGCTGCTTTCCTTTGTGTAAAATTTGGTTTCAAGCACTGCTACCCCTGTTATATGTTTTTTAGAAGACCAGTATAGGTCATTAGGAAGTCTCTTACCTTCTCTGAGATAAGAAGTAAGAAATGAGCTAACAGAATGTAGGGCTTGTGCAAACAAATTAATCTTTGTTTTTTTGCTTGTATCTTTCCTAATAAAAATGGCTAATGCAAGAGAAATAATTTTAAGCAGTTAGATGGTAGAGGCAACATAAATTCTGAGTAGCTACATGAACAAATGCATTTGACTAAACATTTAAGTGAATGAAATAGATTCATATAATTTTGACTCTAAAAAACCTCAACCCTTTTACATCAGACTTTTGGTTCCTTCAACTACTTTTTGAAATCCTTAAATGAGTGCACTTTTTGAGGTCTTATTGTTTCCTTGTATTGTTTGTTCTACTTGTGATTTGCCTTCTTTTCTCTGAGGTCCATGTTGGATAACTCAGTGGAAGGTACATAGAGGCTAGGGGAAGCACATCTTTTTCATTCACATCTGAACACCACAGATATCAGCATACCATGTTTAACAACTCTCCTGTGAGCTGCTCCTATTTATTGCTCCCTGCATATGGTCTGACTAATTTCAAGGTTACTGAGGTTGATTTCTCAATTTTAATGTAAAAATCTTCGGCAAAATCTTGAAAAAGGTGAAACAATTGGATATTTTTTTTAATACTGATTTGTAGCCCTGGCTGACTGTGTTTTCTTTTGTTGCAGGTTTGATAGATAACTCTGGTCTGAGGCTAATTTATACTCCAGTTTTAAGGAAATATGATGCTGGGGTTATTGAAGCCGGCCTTTGGGTCAGCCTCTTCCACAATATCCCACCGGGCATGCCTGAATTTGTGTCAGAGGGTCACTGCACACTAGAATGTCTGGAAGAGGTATGTCTCCTGGCTGAATCCACTGCTTTTCATTCTTAGAAATAGTTTTGGACAGCCTTTTTAACTTTTTGGGAAGATTGATAGTTGCTAGTTAAAGATATGTGAACAAAGGATTCTACTACATGCTGCCCTCCAGAATGTTAGGTCTTTTTGAGCTGCATGCTCAGTATTCAGGCTGCTTATTGTTATGTGTAATACTGTATGACAAAGTGATTGCATGTTTTAGTAGTTGTGTGATCAGTATATAAACATACATTGCTTTCCATGGCGGGGCTATTAATAGCCCAGAATAGCTAGCCCAGAAAAAAATGTTGAGAGACACTAATTAAGATCTGTGTATGTGTAAGAGGATCCTAATAGTGAAGTGAAATCCTGAAATGTATTCTTAGACCAACAACTGAAACCGAAGAAAAAACTGAAACTGAAACAAAACTGAACTGGTTTTGTTGTATGGCCCAATGTAGAAAATTATGCATTCATTAACACTTGGTTTCATTAAGATAGTTTAAATATCGCTACAGATAATGGAAGCGTTGTCTAAAATCTGTGATTAAGATATCATGGGAGATTCTCATCTCATTTTTAGAGAAAGGCTGAATCAATATCTGCTCTTTGGGACATGGTTTGGAGTGAAGGGTAAATTAGATATGGAATTTAGGTTTGTTCTTGGTGGCGTTAAATATTTCATATTATCATAGCATATTTCAGCCTAAAAACATTTGAGTAATCTATTACCATTCTCACCTTAAGGCTGTACTTGAAAGGCATGGCAAAACCAGACTATTTCTAGTTTGGGCTCTGAACAAGAATCAGAATTTAGCATACCTAAAGTTCAGATCAATAGATCTCAGCTGGAATGGGAGTTATGTCAGATTTGTGTCAATTTGGAAAAGTTAATTTTAAAATGTCTTTGACGTGGAAAAAAGTTTCAGATATAAACCTACAGTATTTCACTATCAGTTTACTTGAAGATTGGAAATAGAACATATTATAATTATAGCCTCTTAATTTAAAGTGCTTCTCTTGGCACAATATTGAAGATACTCATATCTACATGAAAATTCTTTACAATAAACATCTACATCCAATAGTATTGGCCAATAGCAGTAAAATAACTAGCAGATTTTACTATAATAACTTTGAATGCTTTAATCTATTGAGAATTATTTGCAGTCCAGTTGATTTTCATAAAAACTGTGTGTGTTAAGAATCAAATCACATTTTTATTTAGTAAAAAAATAGAAAAAAAAAAACCTTAACGTTTTTTATAGCTAAAACTTCAATTCCACATACAGATTTGTTTTTGCTCTACACTGCATTTTACTGTAAACTGTGGGAATGTAAAATGCATTTACTAACGTATTATCACTTTGTTTGTATACTGGTTGACATTACATTGCATCTGGGCATGCTGATAGTGTTGCTTTCCCCTGGCCAGGCTCTAGGTGCTGAGAGACCCGCTGGGATTCATGTGTTTGCAGTACTTCTTCACGCTCATCTTGCTGGCAGAGCTATCAGGATGCGCCACTTCCACAATGGCGAGGAGCAGAAGCTGCTTGCTTATGATGATGAGTTTGACTTCAACTTCCAGGAGTTTCAGTATCTGAAAGAAGAAAGAACCATCTTGCCAGTACGACACTCTTAATTCTTTCCCTGAAAGGGTTTAAGAGATTGTGTGCCTAATATATACTCACATGTAGAATTAATTTTGCTACAGAATTTCTTATCATAGAATCCTAGAATTCTTGAGTGTTAATTTTTCCACTTATCACAGAGTGAGATGCATTAAGGTTTCAGTGTCTCAGGAACATCCACCCAATTCACTACAGACCTGGCTTGGCCCATCAATTCAAGCTATGCTTCGGGTGTGTTGATTTGAACTTTACTATCACAAGTCTGAACAAAGCAGATTATAAAATCACATGTGTGCCTGATTGTGCCATCTTTGTGCATCCAGCCAACTGAAGAATGGAAACATCACCACGTGGCTTTATGAGGCCATTGGAAATAAGTATCACATCCTGAGTATTTGCACACAGCAAGTATCCAGCCTTGCAAACATGTCTAGAAATTAGCCAAGTCTTCTGTTTGTTTCATATTTTTATTTTCTCTTGGGAGTAAAACTCAATGCTCATGTTCCATGTGAGGTTTCACTGAGTAAACAAAACCCTTTGGAAGAAGAAATCATGCATGCAATCTGCTATTCTTGTGAGATTAATGTAATATGTCTTCTAGAAAAATCCCAACTGCAATTATATTATAAAACAGTAGCTACCCATAGATATTGCATGAAAAGAGCCTGTATTTTTGTGGATGAGTTACTCATTTAAAAATTATTCACCCACTTTTTGTTAATTCCAGCTGACATCTGTTTTTCAAGCTTTGGCCTGAGGACAAAAAGTTTGGTGCTACAAAGGTTGGGTACTCCAGATCTGACCAGCAGAACAGCTGGAGATGTGCTTGTCCTGGTGCCTGTGAACAAGCCCATTACTTGATGGAATTAGTCAGATGCAAAATACAAAACAACTGAATTTTGTTTATAATTGGAGGCAGTAAGGGAAAGGGATCTGAAAAGACCGTTGCAATGACTGAACTTCCAAGTGTGGTCAGGAGCCCCATGGTTTAAACTTCCAGGCTTCTCTTCAAGTCTCTTTCTCTCTTATGTCTCTTCTTCAATTCTTGGTTACTTGGATATTTGTCCGTTAAAGGCAAGAAGATAAAATGCTAACTTTCTAATTTAATTTCTACAGCAAAACCTGGATGTTCAGGTGCAGCATTTACTCTTTGAAGTCCAACTGCTTGTACTCCACAGGGACTTCAAAGACAAACTGATGTTACCTCCTCCAGGAAAGAAGTGTTGAAGGGGTTTAGGAAGAAGGCTGGCAGCAGATGACAGGTTTGCAGAGAAAGCCTGTAATATTTTTAGGAAAATCCATGCAGATTATAGAGAAAGGTCTCTTAAAATTCAGGAACAAAAGGGAGTAGACAGCAGAAAGACTGAAAGAGGTATATGATAGTATCTGCAATTTAAAAAAGACAGCTCAAGTAGAAGCTGGAACTCTTTCTCTGAAGTGAGCCTTTTTCATGCTTTTCGTTGTTTTCATCTGTATAAAACTACCAGTACAGTTTTACATGCATCATGTAATTTGGATGACAGTCTAATCAATTAACTAATAATTTTAAATATTTTCACATATAGGTTCTTGTTATTCTCTCCATCTGCAAGCTCTTCCAAAGCTGCATCCTTTCTTCAGCTTGTGAAGTTCAGATTATTCGTTTTCTTTGTGTACTAACACTCTTCTCTGAATTTGGAAGCAAAAGACATGACATCACAGAAGGAACACTATTAGTGAATGTTATCTAGTCCATAAGCCATGAGAGGAAGAGACTTCGCTGGTGGGA